GTTAATTATAGTTTAGTTTCTTATTGTAAGCCTGAGAAGAGGCTCTCCGTAAGCCCAGAAGAAGCCGACTGTTACTTTTATTTGAGTGAAATAAAGGGTATCCTCGGGTCTATACCTTTAAGTTGTTTGAACTCAGCGATAAGTCGCTACATAGTTCACTAGGTTCCTCGACGTTCATCTTAGACAAAAGCAGTGAGAAACTCTACAAGTGTATGTTCATTATTTGTACTTCAGTGAAAATACCAACATCGTCGCCCAAATAAACGATCACTAGTATACGTATTCGCAAACTGTCTCCTTCGGAACACGATACGCAAGTCTGATGGCTGAATTGTCGTTTTCGACGCAGTTGTGGTAACCCCGGTTCATATGGATATAAATCATATGCTTTTAGCGCATCGATTGGACCGAATGTCTTGCGACAGCCACCTTCAAATTTAAATTTATGGCTCCCTGTGTACCCAATTTTTATTACTTTTTTGCATAATGCAATCTTGCCATTCATGGTGCATTTTAACACAGCTGCCCGCAAACAGTTTGCAAAGTGTTCAATTTTTGAAATGTTGCTATTCATGGCCTGAAAAACAGTAATTATTCCTTTTTTAAGTCTGATAAATTGTTACATTCATTTAAATCAGCGGCAGTTCAAGTGTTTATCGAATGCCTAGAGCATAATTGGTATGACGACTAAATCTGCTAATATTACATTTCATATACCATTAATTATTTAGCACTACGTCAGACCTAAGGGGCAGTCAATTTATTGTGACTCAAACCTGTATACATATATACAAAGAGAGGAAGAGGAAAGAAAAAAGAGCGAAGGCAAACGTCAAGAAAAAATATTCTGCCATAATATGTTCCTCAATTGAGAAACTTTTATTTGATGACTAGAAATGGATTGTAGCATTCCAGTGAAAATCATAAGCAATAATAAACTGCACTTTGCTAAATAATAATTTGGAATTTCCGCAAATTTTTGCATCTCTTAATTAGTAAATTCTAAGAGTACATTGTCTCCGTTTCAGAATATAGCTTAAGGAATTCTGTTCATGGAGCAGTTCATGCAGTTCATTTAAGCATTCCGATTGAGAATGGAGATTTTAAGCAAACTTAACATTTACATGATTCTCCATGAAAAGAATTAAATAAAGATTCTCAGAAAGCGACGAATTCTGTTGTTTTGTAAAAACAGCGATTAATATATGCATAAATAAATGTATAGTAATTTTAAACCTTTTATATGCTGGCTAATTAAAATAAAATTTCAAAAGATGCATTTTATCAAAAATTTATCATTCATTTTCTTAAGTATTTACGATTTATTTCAACATTTCCTGTGTTATTTCAAAGCTGAGAAACTATCCTTTTTGATGATTAAAGTAACATTTGCTAATCACTTCCTGTCTGATTTGCACTTTTCGATGGTGAATAATTTGAGACTTTCGCTGATAATTTGCAAACTTCCTTCTGTCTTAATCACGTGTGTTGAAACATTAATTATTTCAATTACACAAATATTCCCGTAATGTCCCCAGAGATAACAGAATGCGGTTTAAAAAGAAGAGAATGAAAAATTTTAGAATATATTCTGTTGAAAGATTCAACGTAAATAAGACATTGGAACGAATTTTAAACTTAAAGAAGTATGCTAGGAAATATAGTACATTTACTAAATACTCGTTAAGTCCTTCAATGATATTTTAGGCTCAAAAAAACTGTACAAAAATCATAAAACATAGTTCAGCATAAATATGATCAATACGGTAATATTTTGTGCAGTCTATGTGTCTCCAACATCATGTAGATTTACATATTACGAGCGTACTGGCTTCAACTAAACAACCGTCATTAATGTAACAGCGCCATGGACATTGAGAGCAGGTAACTGCTACAAATGTCTTAGATCTGCAACAACTTTTATAAGCAAAAATATCCCGGATCTTAAAAGTCTAACACAGTAAAAAATTGTTAAATTTAAAATCCATGAGAAAAAAATGTGAAATAAATTGACAAGTAAGGTATAAAATAACACGAAAAACTATTATAAGACAATTACGGTTATTAATAAGCACATATAAAAGATGAACAAATCGAACGCATCAGTATGGTATGACCTAGACGTTAGGTGATACCATACTGATGCTATCTTCAGTATATAGTATAATATCAACTAGACGCAATACAGCACATGCATCGATGTACTATGATGCTGTCTATCAGTTCTGTAAAAGGTGAGAGTCATTGCTCTTGCAAAGCAGTTGCAAATGTGGCAAGGGTCCGAAGAGGAGAACTGAGAGCAGCTATACAATTTCGTAAAGCATTCCAAGTATGCTCAATAGGATTCCTGTCTAGAGATCAAGCGGGGGATTTCATGCGCCGATTTTTTTACTGTTGAAGATAATCATTTACGATGCGAGTATGTGGCGTCTTGCGTTGTCGTCCTGTTGCAAATCATCACCTATTTCGTCAGCATAAGTGCGCACATAAGTATCAAAGATGCCATCTCTATACGCCTTAGCATTCACGGTGCCACGTGGAAAGACACTGAGGTCTATGCGTACACCCGAAGAGATACCACCTCAAGCACAGATACTGCCTTCTCAGAATGCATGCCTTCCACGGATATTTAATGAATGATAACGGGTTCCAGGATCTCTCCAAACAAAATAACGCCATCTATCGTTTTGGAGACTAAACCTCAACCTGGTTGTAACCCTCAAGAGAACATTCCTCCATTGATCAACCGCCCAGTGGACATGTTGACGTGCTCACCTCAAACATTACTTTCTATCATGTGATGAGAGTGGCGCGCAAATGGCTGTTTACCTCGCTTACTTCACGAAGGAAGTCGGTAAGAGAGGCGTGCACAGTTGACATTGCACTTAGTTGCACGGTTAACGTTGACACCAACCTTCTAGTGGCTGCAGGAAAAGAGGATCTGAGCTGAGTCGGAGTTGAGGTTCTATTCCTTCGGGCACATAATAGCAAATATCCGTCGTCAGCGTTCTTCGTAGCGGTTTGCAGTCCTTGATTTAACCTCTTGAATGCCGAATCTGTGATAAGAAAATGTTACCAAAGACTATGAAACACAGAAGGATTCACATTTAGCCTTTAATCTCTCAATAGCTCTCCATCGCAGTTCTTCGGGAGAATGACGCCTAGCGGTCATTGTTACAGATTGGCTCTCCTACATTATTTCTCCTATTATCGCAGTAACATTTGCAGGCTTGCTCTTAAACATGCGATTTTATGCTCTTCACAAATGACATATTCCGATTACTGCACCACTATTTTGTATACTGCAATTTTACTCAGCAGCTCTTAACTGACAACATATTCAAATTTTATACGAATTCACATAATTCTGAACGCGTTACTGCTATTTTTGTGATTGTTTCTTAATTTTTGGAAAGCAGTATAGTTAGATTGAAAACTCCCCTTTAAAATATGGAATTTTTGAAAGAAAATTTAGTAAATTGAGCAATATGCAAGTTATATTATTTTAAACGACCAATATGTGAAATCCCTCGCTTTAAAGAATATAATTTATTTCATATGCTTATATTCTAGTAAGCTATATTCAGTCATACTTTTTTATTTCTTGTAAATTGCAAATAATTTGTAACTTCTTGAAAATTTCGTCATATTTCTTATATTCAAGTGAACTGCAAAGTTTATTGAATACTTTATTTTCAAAATTAATGTTTTGAAAGTATTAAATTATTAAACTGTATAAAAATTAAAATATTTTCACTCTGGTAATTAATGTTTGAAATTTTATATTATATTCTTAAATTTCTAGTATATGAAAAACATATTTTTAATGCTCATTTCGAATCAAACCCTTTTTGGATAAAAACTGTGATATAAAAAATTAACTGTAACAGTTATCAATATAATATTCCGCTTATATATTTCAGCAAACACATACTTTCCCCTGTGCATTCCATGTGAGTTCTGACGTACATAACGCTGTGTTACAAGTTGTTGTAAATATTGTTTCTTATCGGCTATTTTCAAACAAACACTTATAAAGTTCTAGTTAATTTACGTGTCCTTGGCTACTAGAATCTTAAGGAAGTGTCTAGCGATACAACTTTCAAATATAAGTCCAAAGAAGGGTTGAAATACCATTTTATTCACTAAAAGAAATGCAAATTCTCGGGCTTACAGGAAAGTCTCCTATTGGGCTTAAGATAGAAAATAAGAAACTAAACTAATTTTAACTATCTAAACTTTAGCCAAAGCTGTACAAAGATAACTAATCGAGTTGGCACGTAATTAAACCTCACTGGCGAACATTAACAGGCACGTAAGACTAGGGCCCGTGCGTTATAAAATAGGCTTAAAGCAGCAAAGTGGCCAGAAAGCAGAACACGCTGTACTGAGAACTTCTGAGCTCTTCTACGGAAGTGATTGAACTTCTTATTAAAAACTAGTTCTACTTCATTTGCATAAAACGCGATACTGAAATCTCATTCTAGCAGGAAATTGTAGGTGGAAAACAAGAATTTAAAGGAAATGGTTTCAAAATTATAAAATAACTATTAATAAATTAAAATAATCCCTGCGCACTTTTTGACTGAAACCTGGAATAAGAAATTAAAAGTAATAGACGTCATTATAATGCTCTATGTGTACATTTGAGAGATCATAAATTTTATTGTTGCACTATGCATGCGCATTCCGCCATACGTAATTTTTTATATAATGAGGTGTATTACAACAGCTATTTCATGTGAAATGTTCATTTTCATGTAACAAATCCTGTAAAAGTTTAGGAAAGTTCCATTTCTATCCAAAGGATTTCTCGATTTAATGATATGTTATCTACTGATGTGACTACAAATTTCTCTTTGGCAACATAAACATTTACCAAGAGTGGGCTTCTGTTGACGTATTTTAAGATTCACCATTTTGAATATTATATACTGAAGTTAATGTTTTATTCAAATTATGAACATATATTTAAATATGTATTTCTCTTTTACTTTCAGGCATTTTAGAGAAAAAAGAGAAGAAACAACAGTGTAGTTAGACCTTTGATATAGTCTGTTATTTTCAAATACCGATTGTTTCTGCTCATCTAGCTGTCATCTCAGTCCTTACGGAAAGTGGTCAGGAAGTGCTTCAAAAAATGAAGCTATCTGAAGCTACGTAGACCAATGTTCGAGCGTTTCCTACAGCATATATTCTTAAAATTTGTGAAGCAGAACCAAAGCTGTTCACATGATAATGATCAGAAATCTTAAAAACTATCTAGCCATTTGGTGTTGTGATGCCTACATTTTGGATTTATAATATTCAAAATAAGATATGCTTGATAGACGTATCTTAAATATCATCATTTTAGGGAAATGCATTTTAAGCATGATGGTGTCTGAATACGTATAGACTAAAATATCAATTTTCAGAGATTTCACATTTATGTTTATTCACTACATAAAAACTATATTCCGTGCGTAATTCAAGGTATACTGCTTTATACCATATAAGATTCCAACAAGCATATTTGATCTTTAAATATTGACTTAGAGAGAGTTCAACACTGGAACACGAGAATTAGATAATAACCTAAGAAAAGGCATTTTTGCATAATGCTAAATGACAATTCTCTGTACAGTAACTGACCAGAACTGAATACGAATTTAATTGAGGTGATAACGTTGATGAACTATATCCAATTTCTTAGTTCTCAGGATCTTCTCGTACCAAAAGTAACTTCTGATGAAAATCTTGATGTCAGCTATTTATACTGTATAAAATAATTAATATGAATATTGTTAATACACATCACTTCTCGCTCATGTAAGATATTCAGTTTTTTTCATAATTTCAATAGATGCATCATTTGAATAGTAGATATTGTGTCAGAGATGTTTTTTTCTGAATTTTGTATTCAGAAAATTTTGAATTTTAAAGAAAAGCGAGTTTTTGACATGCATGAGGAACGAAAGCTTGCTTTGTTTGCATATGAAGCAAATACGATGAAAACTGCATAACAAATTTCTTTGAAAAACCAAATATTTTTTCCACTTGACTTATAATACCTATATGAAATTTGAATCCAATTAAAACTAAAAATAAGAGGTATGAAACATATTAATTTGCCTTCACTAGAAATCGTTCACTAGATTTTACATTTTACACTCGGAAGCACTTTAGAAAAACATAAGCATACTTGGGGCTGAGTTTGTGAAGTTTTCGTTTTTACTTAATAGGGTTTTAATATAAAAACTCCAATTGTTTGAATTCCTATGAATAAATATCTATATAGATCTTCCAGAAAGCATTTTTCACTTACCAATAATGCATTTTAAACTCATATATGTGATTTTAATCAAAACTGAATGCAGACATTCTGAGAAAAAATTCAGGGTATTTATACTTGCAAAATTCATGATTAATACTAGAGTGAATGATTGACCCTAGACGTAGGTGATTGATACTAGACCAACAAAAGGCGAAAGATTTATTCATAAAAAAGTATAATTGTTCTTCCATCAAAAAAGAGTAAGTTGTAATTGTGAATAATTGGAAGAAGTGTGTAATTTTCTTACAGATGAAAGTGTTTTCTACGCACTAGTGTTGTATAATGTGAAGGTCATTTAATATTATTAATGTAACAAAAATGTTTCAGTATAATACACATAATATTTATGTTTATTCAGCGAAACAAGTGTAATTCATCTTTTAAGTAATTTTTCTAATAAAATTATGTAAAAGCTTCAGATGCATTTCTCATTATGTTATTGTGAAATACATGTGAATACACCCTTCAAACAAAGCATGTAATTAATGAGTTATTTTTTTAATATAAAATTAGTTCATGTAAGTACCTGGTTTAGAACATGAAACTTACGTCAAATGTTCGATATAAAAGACCTAAAATTTCATTTAAAGGATTTATTCCTTTTCCTTAAAAGGTTGCTTAAAGCGCAGATTATACTATTTAGAAGGGAAAAGAAACATTTCATCTAAACTCAATGGTATAATTATATGCGTTAATACACAAACACACCCACAATATATGTGTGTGTGTGTGTGTAATTAATTTAAGTAAATTATGAAGACCAGGCAATTTAAAATTAATTTTGAAATAGAAAATAATATAATTCAAAAGATTGTTTAGTAAAATTATTAATAACCATCGGCTAAGACTAAACGTTGTTGTTAAATAAATATGTATCTAACAAAAGGCCGATTTTAAAAGAAAAATAAGGAGAACAAAATTACAGTACAGTGGATTTTTGTTTTAAATTTAACATAAAGAAAAAGTGAGTTATTATTAAATTTTAGAGTGAAGTTTAAACTGAATTAGTAAATTTAAACATTAAAATTTTTAAACATTTTTTAGAACGCTCAAAATACGAAAAATGCACATATTAGTACCATAAAAGATTTTAAACAAATTAACTCAATATTTATTTCTTTTCAATATTTTTGTTTTATATCTTAATATTTTTGTTTCAGTTTTGAAATGTTTATTTTTCTTTTAGTTTTCCTGTTTGTATCTACTCTTAGAGGGGGATCCACCTTTCATGATCTAATTTTCATTTATTTATTATACCTTAATTTTATATGTATATATAAATGCACACACTCAAAGGTACCCTTTTAAATATTTTTTTTAATTTGATTATTTCCTCTCTCTCTCTCTCTATATATATATATATTATACGCATAAACACAATTTGAGTAATTTCAAATTAAGATGATATACAGGATGTTTCCGAATTTGACAAACAAATAGAGAGGAAAGATAGTAAGCATCGAGATGATGAAAAATTACCATAGATCACGGGGCGACAAGCCAGTTTAGTATTCAAAAATCGGAAAAAAGAGACGTCAAGAGAGCAAAGAGCCTGACGGAAAGAGTGGCCAAACGAATACTAGAATCATAAGCACTGCGGTGAAGAAGAAGAAAATTTTTCGTATGGAAAGTTTCAATGCATATGAGGAAAATAAAGCAGCGTTCGAAAAGGAGAAACCTTCTCTTATGTAAATTTCCTATTCCCATGGGAAAAACTAAAAGCAGCCAGCAAGAATTCATTCATTGCAGAATTCGTGGGTTCAGAAACAAAATATCAGATTATATAAACGAGAAATATGTAAATATGCACCTGGTTTATGGCTGACCCTGCAGCAAAGGACGCTTTGCACAAAGGATGTATGAAAACCAATATCGGACAAGGTGATGTCCGCACCACACCACCTACACGTATCTTTGATCAACGGTTGCGGAAGACAGGGTCCTTCCAAATAACGAGACATAATGTAGCGCAAGAATATAGTGTTCGCAACTTGAAAAAGAAAACCGATTACTGTAATGGTTTGCTATTTCTTAGTCGACCAGTACACGATCGATTGCAATAGAGCCCGGTATTCTTCATTAAAGGAAGAGATGATTTGTGGAACGTTCTGCGTGCAGAAAACATGCACACCTTCCACGTGCAATAGGCCAAAATCCAAGGTAATGCCGACTACTCCATTCGAGTTGTAACCACCTCCATTGCTACATATCACGAGAGGTGGATTTGGCGCGGCGGACTTACTGCTTGGGCTCCACGTTCCTTGGACCACAGTCCCTTGGATTTTTCTCTTCTGGGACTAACTAAAATTGTTTTTATCAGACGCCTGTGGATACACCGGAGGATCTGACAGCACAGATCGTCGTCGCTTGGCAGGGATCGCCAGGATACCGGCCAAAGCGACGACGAACTGTCGTCGCTTTGAACGTGTCCGGCAAACCTTCGTCCGGCGATGCAGTCTGTGCCATGACTTTCACGGCTTCAACTTCCAACAATTCCTAAGCAAATGTCCCGTCGTCTCAAAAAAGCATTTATATTAGTAGAGAAGAAACTTTTTGTAATAAAGTTCTTGAGGTGACTTGAAGATTACTTATGAAAATTTAGTCATCTGAAAGTCTTTCATAAACAGTATGTACTCAATATAAAATCAAAATATTCTTTTCAGACATCCATGAACATCCATTAAAATTAATAGCTGTTTAATTGTTGAGAAACAACAGATACACTTATTGTAGAAAAATGCAAAAATTAAGAGAGAAAATGGACAAATAGAATAGAATAATAAAATAAACTTTGATTGAAATGGGCAACTTCTCGACAAGTAAATCAGCGTGACTACTTGCTGATGGCTGTAGGATGCTTAAATACAATAATACCTAAAAGACTCCTTTCTTTATAACAGAACTAGCTGTTAGTAGTGTATGAAAAATCAAAATTTTATTTATTCGTATTCCATAAAATTCTTCTTCGGAAACAGTATTTGAAATAAAAAAAAGTAAAGACATAAAATTTAAAATTCAAGTTAGACGAATTACTTGTATAATCAAGTTATACAAAATAAATTTTGAAAACAGAAAGTAACATTGCCCTATTATAATAATTTAGAGAAACATTTTAAGACAAAAATGAGCCAGATTAAAAAAAAGTCAAATTTGGAATTAAAATTATCATAATTTAATTTTTAGAATTTTCATGATGATATTTTATGGAAAGCCTTTTAAAATACATATCATTTAATCATTCATAATTATAAAACATTTGCAAATCTTCATTGCATGTACCATCACTAGAAACATTTTATTGGAATTGCGCTTTTTGCTTTTACTGAGACATTTATAATTTACGCATTCTTTACAAAACCTAACCCCGCAGCTTTCTCTAAATTCTAAGATATCCATCACATTGGCATATCCATTTGAACTAACTAGTGTTTTTGACCAATCATCGACTAAATCCCAAAATTATTGAATACGGCAATTAAATATGAAAGATGTATTTATAGATAACAGCAATATGCATACATTATGGCCTAGTTGTTATGCATGTACCTATATAATGTTATAAACATGCAGAATAAAAGTATGAAATTATATAAAATATATTCTGATAACATACGCAAATAAAATATTTTATTTTTGGACAACATGAGTTTGTCTAAACAATATCTGTAGAACTTATAAGAAAGAAATTTTGACATCCAATACAAAGTATGTTTTTGTATGATATTCGAGATATGCTTTCGGATGTTTATGAAAATTAAAATAGTAGATATTCAAAAATATTTATGTGTGTGTATATTTAGTTTTCAAAATTTAAAAAATGTATTTGTCTATTTTTATTCCTTCACTTAGCAATTATTACTGAAATAGCCTACTCTGTAACACAACAGGCCAGTAAATAAGGTTATCGTAAACATTTAAATTTTCGATGTTCAGTAAAACGCCGAAATATGGCTATCAGTCTCCAAAGTAAAAATATACTGTCCAATATATAAACAATAATAAAAATTATGTATAACAGGCTAAAATCTCATACGTGTTACTAAAGGCTTTTAATATATACGTTTCCCAACCATATTCTAAAATATTACTCCGTTCATTATACTCTACATCCGAGGATGAGCAAAATTTATTTTTCATCTAATATTATCAACCTTTTTCATATTCTGCTGCCCTTAGCATTTAGCATAAAATATAACTTTCAAAGTGTTTTAAATCTCGAAATACAAAACGGTTTTATCAGAAGTTCATATCTGCAAACTTAGGTAGAAGTAATTTCATAATTCGCTTACATATGACTTAAAAAGTGACATTTTAAGATTTTACGACTGAAGCTACGTCGTGAGATAAAGTTCTGAATCTGTTTTTAATAACAGAAAAGCAGTTCTCATAATTGCTGAAGATTATTGGATTCACCATGTCAGTCGCTATTCTTTACCGACTTTGGCGTCTAAAAAATTGTAAATATCTAGTCTTTTAATGTACAGCATTTGAATTATTGCACTAATTGTGCTTTTTTATTCCTGAATCTCTCTTTAAAGCGCTAAAGTCATTATCTCTCAAAAAATTCCAATTAGTACAGACTCTTTTATCGACACAACAATCAATGGAACTTCCGATACTAGCAAAAGGGACGGTAACTACGCTACCTCTTAATTTCAATAGGAGCAAGCACTCGTACTTTTTGCTTCGATGCAAAGAGATACGTTATTGCAGGTGAGATAGTTACTCGAAACCGTTATTTATTAGCGATCATTACAGAGATAACTGCTCTGGTCATCATAATTTCCGCCAACAAAGCACACGGCTCATTTTCAGATCTCTTTTACTCAAAGAAAAGGGAAAAATAACGATATACGTCCTTTAGAGGTAAAGTGGTTTAAGTTATATTTATTATCCCCAAAGAGATATGCTACTAATTTGTATGTAATGACTTTACCAATTTTTCTGGCTCATTCTTTAATTGTTTACAGTTTTATCAAAAAAAGTACATAAATAACTTAAAAAGTGCATAAATAATTACTAGCATGTGACGTTCAAGACTTTCTCCGCGATTGTTTTGAGGAGATGTAAACTGATGTCGAGAGATTGCAATTTTTGATGATGACAGCAATTATATTGAAACTACTAATTATTGGTTTCAAATTTTCTTCCGAATTTTGGCGTTTCTAGCTTTGAATTTGGTAACGTAAAAAATAGTACTTTCATAAATATGCGAGTTTAATCTCAAAGTCAAGTTTCTAAAAGTATTAGGAAAATAAATCGCATGGATATCCAATTCAATAGATATTTTATTTGCATACTAAAAGCCTATTTATTTTAAAATTTATTCATGATAAAACAAGCAGTTTAACAACATAACGACGAACCTTCTTTGAAAAAAAAAAAAAAAAAAGAAAAAGAAAAAGATTTTTC